GGGGGGGGCGGGGGGGAGGGGAAATTGCAGCGATGCTAGCCAGGGGAGATCAGGAAGAGGAACGGGCCGGCGGGAAGCAGAGCTGGGGGGCAGTGCAGGGGGCTGGCCGGGGAAGATCAGGAGGGGAAGTGGGGGAGAACTGAATGGGAAGGGAGCAGAGGGTAAGCAAATCGGCCAGCGGGGAGCAGGACTGACCTGGGCACTTGCAGATCCTGGGGCACTGCCTGTCCTGCGCAGGCTCCCGGCAACACACGAGTGACTCAACTCCGGCGGGAAGCAGAGCTGGGGGGCAGTGCAGGGGGCTGGCCGGGGAAGATCAGGAGGGGAAGTGGGGGAGAACTGAATGGGAAGGGAGCAGAGGGTAAGCAAATCGGCCAGCGGGGAGCAGGACTGACCTGGGCACTTGCAGATCCTGGGGCACTGCCTGTCCTGCGCAGGCTCCCGGCAACACACGAGTGACTCAACTGACTGAGGGCTCCTGGCGGCAACCGCGGCCCCACTTCCCAACTGAGACTCCCAGCCACTCCCCTACCCATGCTAGGCTTCCGTCCGGTGCACAGCCAGAAAAATCCGAAAATACTGGACATTGCACATGTCCAGTACTGTCTGATTATTTTTACCGGACAGAGCGCACAAATACCGGACTGTCCGGTACAATGCCAGACACCTGGCAACCCAACCCACACCCTGGAAGAGCTGAATTAGGCCAGGGAGACCCAAGCAGCCAATTAAGCAGCAAACAGGGGACACAGGCCGAGGGGAGGTTGCTAATGAGAAGGAAGTTCACTTGTGAGGGACCAGGGGGTGTCTAGTGGCCTGCAGTCTCTCTCCCTGAGGCAAGGGAGAAGGCAGGCATGCCAGGGCCCATCAGGACGGGGTACATAGTAGGCCTAAGAGAGCGAGGGGGGTGACTAGGGAGGCTGATGAAAAAGAAGTTTAAAGGAACATGGTGGGCAGTCGTCCAGGGGCAAGAGCAAGAAGGCTGGTGAAGTCCCTGACCAGCTGCTCCCTGTAGGACTCTGGCCTGGAACCCAGAGCAGAGGGTGGGCCTGGGTTTCCCTAGCAACCTCGGCAGGCTGGCGCTGCTAAAGGCAGCGAATAGGAAGATGGCCGGCATCACTGTGGGCGCAACACAGGGCAGTGAGCAGGAGAACTGCCAGATGCTGGGGGGGGGGCCGAGTCAGGTTGCACTCGTACGGCGACTCGGCCAGCGAGAGGAGAGTTGCAAGGGTGGGAGACAGGAACAGGGCACTGAACCGGGTACACTAATCTCCAGAAGGGGGTGCCAACCCACAGTGAGACGCACACCCCGTGGCAAAAGCAGTGTTGTCCCCTGTGGTGCAACTCACCACCTGTGTGAGGTGACAAGAGAACAACCTCCCCCTCCAGGGGGCTCCACAGCCGCTGCTGAGCCCCCTGCCCTGGCATGCCTGCTCTGCAGCGATC